CTGCAAGTCAGTCTTCTAGGGCAGTTTGATGAGGTAGGTCGACTACACAGAGAGTGAGGATGCAGTTCAAACACGCCCACAGTGCTTTCAGCCTCTATCAGATTTTTAAAAATAAGTAATTGACTCTTATCAAGATAAGAGATCATGAGATGCCTCCAAATATTTTTTTCCTGTAAGTTGATTTTGGGGGAGACAAGCTCGGTCTCCCCCAGCAGGCCTGCCAGCTCAGACTGAGTCAGACGTGAATGCCATGAGTCCTGGGCTGGTGCACTCAGGGTGGATTGCCTCTTGGTCTTCAGGACAAGGTCATTCCCCAGGAAGTAGATGGTGAGAGGCTGGCCCAAAGGAGCCTGGGGCTTAGCCACCTGGTATCCAACAAGGATGCCTTGGCAGTGCATTCGAGTCCCCCAGAACAAATGCTTGTGTGCGTAGAATCTGCCTTGGACTTTTTCTGAGGTGCTCATGACGTATCACTAACAGGACTGATGCAACACGGTTGACCGGTCTCAGCTCATGATGTGTAGTGACTGGCACTTTAGTGTGGACATCCGTTCAACTGGGAGAAAGTGTCCTGTTTTAGATGTCTTCCTTAATATAACTATTTATCAAATCCTCATATTTATTTTCAAAAGAGGGGGGCATGACAGCACATGGAGGAAGCACTTTAAAGATATTCTTATCAATAATTAATTGATGATACAACTTGTCAGTGGATTTAGTGATTTCCATTTTGCCCACCCTGTCTCAGGACAGGGGTTTTGTAAATGGGAGAAAACAACACGGTAGTAGGTCGTTATGTCTTGCTGAGGGACAAAGCAGGGACAGGCAAGAAGCCTGTGGTCTATTGTCACATTTTTGAGATGTGCGCCAATGCAAAATCACATGGTTTTCATGATTATGTATTTCAATGTATAGACATTAAGTTATGTTTTGATATTAGGGGATATATCTCATGACCTCATGATATACCTCATGTGGGTGTGATCAGTGACAGTTCCTATATAGGTCCAAGCAGAATGTGTCCTTGGGTGGGGAGTAGTTGAGAGAAGCCATGAGCACACAGGGCGTTCTGGGAGGTTTGGGCTCACAGGTCTCTTTGATGTCTTAGATCCACAAAAGCAACACAAACCCAGTTCACTCCTACTTGAGAAGGACTAGTTCCATGAAATCAGAAATCCAGAAGTTTTGTGAATGGTCCTGATATTTTTTTTTTTTCAGATTTTGCTTGGATTCTGCAAAACTTAAACACTGTTTAAAACATTTTATCATGATTTTTCCCATTGCCATTCTTAAATGTCTTTTTAAGACCAATATTTCCAGCCAGATGATAACATGCACTACCCCAAATTATTTTCTCTTGGTGTATTACTTAAACCCAAGACAAATGCAAGATCATGGATAAGGCATAAATGTTTTTTGTCTTGAAGACATCCATGAGGCAGCAAGTCTAGCTCTAAGATCATTTTTTCATCATGTGTGTTCTCAGAGTATTTCCACCAAGAGTACCTTTGGAGGGGAAGAGAAGTGATATTTGAGGCAAGTGTTTTATGTCACAGAACTTTGCATCTCTAACCACGGGAACTTAAAATAGCCTTGGTGCTCTTGTCCCTGATAACTGCCAGGAAGCGCGGAGGGCGGTGAGGGTCTGGTGTGCTTCCCTGCGGCTGCCGAGGACTTCGGCGCGGAGAACCTGTGCCTGCCTTATGGGGAGTTTCCATGGAAACCCAGTCAATCTCTTCTGCCATTTCAAAACCCAAGCTGTGCAGCACATGGTACTGTCTGATTTTATCCACGGGGGATTTTGATTACCCACATGGGCCTCCCTTCACGGAAAAGATGTGCTTGCTCTTAGATGGGTAGATGCAAATCGAATTTTTGTAAATCGATTTTACACCACCCCTTTATCAAGGGTCCTGGAGCTGGCTCCATCTGAGAAGCAAATACCCCTTTTGTTAGGTGAATAATCACTCCTTCATTCACCGACTTCAGAAAATTTTATTTTTGAGGGTTGAGATTTCTTAAAGCTAGGAAATCTGTATGTAAATCTAAGAATTTAAAAAAGCCTTAAAGTCTTGAACAGCAACAGAAAAATGACTACGTAGAGCTGATAGAAGAAAAGAAACCGTTCTGGGCTGCCTTATGTGGTCCAGAAGCACCACCTAAAGATGAAAGAGCCGAATTACCAGCCCTGACAAAACCGGGAGCGGCTGGGCTGTGTCAGGGGAAGGCAACAAAGAAAGGCCGTGGGCTCCTCTGAGCAGGCATCCCAAGCCCCGGCCCTGGGCTACAGCGCTGGGCTTGAGCAGTCGAAGGGGGTGAAGGCAGGAGAGCCTCCCCGGGAAAGAACTCATGGCAGGCCCGGGAGCAGCTGTGCAGGGGTGTGGCCGGCGAGGAGCAGACTCAGGTCACGCAGCCCGCAGGCTGCAGGCCTGGGACTCCACCCCATCTGCCTGACTTGAAGTCTTGACAAGAAGAGCAAACCTTTTAAGAAAGCAAGAACTCTTTCTGGAAATCTTTTTTCTTTCCCAACACAGTGGAAGCTCTGAAAATGGGCCAGATCAATATTTTGTTTGTTGTTTGCATGGTGATAGAGGACATTTTAAACGCCTCTTTTTTTTTTTTTTTATTGCCTTTGTAAATGGCTTAAACACACAAAATCTACTCTGAAAATCTTTCTCTCTCTTTTTTTTATAATTAGTCAAATCTGATTTTCATTTGCATTAGTTTGGTTATAATGCCTCACTTTAAATCTGAACAGAATATGTCAACCTCCTACAGCCCTCACCAAAAAAAGGCATATTGAAAAATTTCTACTCGTGTTAAAATGAATAAATTTTAAATAAATTTGCACTGAGTGCTTAAATTAGGAAGAGTTTGGGGATTTTTTTTTTTTCTAAAGCAAAAAGCAAGGCCAAGTGTATATTATTGGCTAGTGGGAAACATTTCTGTTTCTTGATACATTTTCCAAACAAAGTTGCATGAAGATGAGCTTCTCTTAGACGGAACGATTCTCATTGCTCTCAGATCGTCCTCCCTCTGCGAGCGCTCTGGGCAGGGGCTCTACCCGCATGAGGTGCCCTGTGGGAGGTCAGCCAGCGAGGTCGAGTCACCCCCCTTATTATTTAGAAAGTAATTACTTAGCAATCAGCAGAGGAGTCTTGTGATCAAACTTTAATTGTACATAACCAGCTGTTGCTTTAAAATCAGGTCAACAATCCGATTTTGGGTTGTTGCTGTTCTTGATACATAGATTCCACTTTAAACGCCCCATTGTTCTGCCTCAAATGCCTGTTTTAAAAATCCCTGTTCCAAGTGCGCACACCAGTGATGTTCGCCTCCCCGCTTGCCTCTGTGCCCTCGCAGTGGGCTGTAAACTGAACTAACCTTCAATATGATGCAGCAGAGGGCGCCTGGGTGGCTCAGTTGGTTAAGCGACTGCCTTCGGCTCAGGTCGTGATCCTGGAGTCCCGGGATCGAGTCCCGCATCGGGCTCCCTGCTCAGCGGGGGGTCTGCTTCTCCCTCTGACCCTCCCCCCCTCAGGCTCTCTCTCTCTCTCTCATTCTCTCTCTCTCAAATAAATAAATAAAATCTTAAAAAAAAAAAATAGGATGCAGCAGACACCAAGCTCCGTTCCTCGAGAGCTAGGGCTCTGGTCCCTTTCTGAGGACTGAAGGAGGTGTAGACAGTGTCTGAATACCGAACACTGTTTGCGCACGCGAGTGTCGGCACGGGACGCCCCCAGTCCCATCCCTGTGCAATGCCGAGGGACCCGCAGGGCGCAGGGGAGCGAGTGTTCCCCAGCCCCGGCTCAGCATCCAGTTTCCACCGGGACTCTCCGAGTGCAAAGCAAACTGAAACTCCTCAGAAGCAGTAGACATTTATTAACTATGCGAAACGTATGATTTTTGTCCTTGCCAGGACCTCGGGGCTCCCTGCGTGGGGGCGGGGACACAGGACACGATCCACGTGTCACTGCTGCTTACTAAGTCCCGTCATCCTTGGTGGGGTTTGTGTTGTTTTGTTTTTTGCTTTTTGCTGTTGTTGTTTTTTAAATATACAAAGTTTATGGAAAAAAGAACTTTTTCTTAATTTTTGTCCTTAATTTTTACATTCCTGGTGGGTACAAGAAAACTAAAATAGCATGAACTGAAATGTCTCTGTAGTGCCACCTGATTGTTCTTGAGACGGCTCATTTAGGAAGCTGTATGAAGGGCATTAATTATAAAACTTTTTAAAGCACATTCTGTCCCATTCGGGCAATGGCAGTGTGGTAGTTAAGAACCCAGGGGACGTGGCCTCGCTCGGCTCAAACAGGTGTAGTGCGGGTATCGAGAGGTACTCGCCATACCTGGTTGATCGAGACACCTGGCCTCCACTCGGGTCAGCTAAAAAGGCTTCAAGGCAACTCAAACCTACCTGATTGCCCAGCGAACCCCAGCGCCCCGCTCCAGGCTGCTGCCATCACGGGGCTCGGGGCAGCCAGTCAGCCCGCCTTGCCAAGAGTCCGTTTCCCGGGAGCCCGTTATAACGCTGCTATTCCCAGTGTAGACCAAGAGCAGTCTCTCAGGCCTCTGTGCACACCCCTCCATGTACAAATCTTGCTTCGCACGTGGCTGCTGAAGCTGAGTCCCACTGAAACCAAAGTAACAAGAAGGGAGGGTGACCTGAACTATTTGGAGGGAACAGACTGGCGTAAACAGCATCGGGACCAGGATGCTCCAGGGCTTGTTGCCACCGAGGCAGGTACTGACATCCGTGGTCCTTCTGGAAAGTGCCGTTGTGCTTGGAAGGAAGAAGGTAGCCAAGGTTGGTATCTGGTGGTGTGGTCAGTGGACACAGGTCCCTGTTCCCAGCCAGGAAGCTTCCGGCTCCATCTGTCTCTTTCAAGTAGGGAGGTGAAGCATTCAGGAGTTTGCTTTCTGGATAGAGAAGGGGGTTAATTGTTCAGGGGACTTTCTTTCTCTCAAGTCAATTGCCCGTTCTGCATTTTTAATTGTAGGTGCCCCACCCCTGGCTGTGATGGCTCTGGGCACATCACCGGGAACTACGCTTCTCACCGGAGGTAAGCAAGATGCCTGTTCTCTTCCTCCCTCACCCCTTACCCCCCGGGCATCGGCCGGCTCCGCGCATGCTCAGTTTGGCCCACAGCTACATACGGTCTACAGACTTGGACCGCAGAGCAGCGCCGTCCTCGGGGTCCTTCCTTGGACAGCAAGCGCACCCCCTGGCACGCACCGGGCTCACCTGCAAGAACGTTTCTCAGTTCAGCCAGCAGCAGCCTTTCCAAATCGGAAGAGTGCCGGGAAAACACCCATCGCAGGCATATTATAAGGTCCCTGGGACAGTCACTGAGAGGCAAGCGTTCCAGCACCACTGGGAGTTGGCCTCTTAAACAGGAAGATGTGAGCTGCCGGCTGTCCAGCCATTCTAAGCGAGGAGCAGAGCTGAAGACACGGAGACGCGCTCTACGGAACTCATCGCAGGCCCTGGGGCTCCCGAGGAGGAGGGAGTGTCTGAAACGCAGCATAGAGATCCTGTCATGTATGCCAGGCCATACATCAGAAGTGAGTTGAAAGAAGCTTTGGATACGTTGTCTTCACAAAAGTGGATCCAGACCTGTGGCCAGGTGCCCCAGTTTCATGTCCTGTTCCGTTAGTGGCAACGAGCCAGGGCCAAGGTAAAGACAAAGACGTTCATGAACGAGGACCCATCCAACAATGGAAAACAGTGCTGCACCCAGAAAATATGGACACTAAGTTATACGATGCTGTTGCCTTGTCAGTCTGAATTTCAGATGATAAAGTGGACGTTCCTAAAGTCGATGAGCATTTGCGCTTCAAATGTATCTCCCACAAGAAGAATAAAGAAGAGGAAGGGAAGAGAGAGACAAGGAGAGAGGGGGGGGGGGGGGGAGAGAGAGAGAGGGAGGGGGGGAGAGAGAGAGAGGGAGGGAGGCGGGGAGAGGAGAGGCCCCTCAGAGAGAGTGTTGGTCGTGGGCTGCCCACCAGAGGGAGGGTGTTTGCCAGCCGACCCCACTGAGTGGATCGGTGGATGGTGTGGAGCATGTGGCCGCCCGTGTGGCCCGGTCGCCGTGGTCAGAGCAGGGGGCGCTCACTGGCTGCTAGCACGGTTTGGACGAGGGACACAGCTCCCACGGCGGGTTGCTTCCTCACAGGGATCCTCCTGAGAGCCTCGCACTTCTGTGCTCACGGTGCAAGCAGGTTTCGGCAGCTCCAGGCTGGGGCACGCACAGACTCGGAGTGCCCACGGGGAGAACTGAATCGTGGGGTCACGGGAGGATTCTTCACGCTCCTCCTCTCCGCCAGGGCTGTCCACCTGGGTGCTGCCGACACTCGGGGTCGGACGGTGCTTTGCTGTGGGGCGTCGAGCAGCCTCCGGGCTCGACCCAGCAGACCCAGCAGCACCATCTCCGCCACTCGTGGCAACCCAAGAAGTCTCCAGACGTCACCAAGTGCTCGCCGGGACCACCCCCAGGGACGGGAGCAGCCTTGTGGCGCTGAGCCCGCTGACCGGGCCGGGCAGAGCCCGCCGCTGTGTGCGATGCAGAGATTGAGTGTTACCACCTGCAGTTACCTGCCAGAGCAACATCGCTGCCTTAGAGTAAATTCAATTCAACTAAAAACTCCAATTAAGTATAAAAACTCAAGCCCATTCTATGCTACCCTTTATTTTAATTTGCCTTGAAAAGAAATGTCTGAGTGCTCACGTGGCCAGAACTTCCAGCGTCAAAACGTGAACAGTTGCTGGTCCCTTAGTGTCTGACCACGGCACAGGGGCCACGGCCCTTGTCCACAACGACAACGAGGATCCTCTCTTGAGCCGGCCCTTCCCCCGCTGCCCAGCGTGGTCCCGCCACACGGGCTCCCGAGGGCCCATCACCCCTCTGACGCGTCATCACTCACACAGGGCGAGAGACCCCAAGGCCAGGAGGTGTCCCCCGGCGTGGAGCCGCGTCTGTGCTTTCCAAGAGCCCGCGTGGGCCTCGGACACCCGGGACCGCCTTGCAGGCTCAGGGAGCCACCGCACATGGAGGGTTCCGGGATGTCCCCTCATGACAAGGACGGTGTTTGCTGAGCACCTGCTACCGGCCATGGGCATTACTGAGCACTTTGCCTCTCTAGTCTCGCAGTGCTATGAGACTGTTATCTTTGCCCTGATCTCATGGAGGAAACCACACAGCAACCACATCGCCTCCAGTCGAGGCCCGACTCCCCGGGGCACGTCCACGTGCCGGGCGCCCCAAGCCGTGGCTGCCTGATGCAGACAGGTCGCCGGGGCCTGAGTCGGCAGCGAAAGGAAGGGACCAGGGGCTCTCCAGGTGGGGCCGGGGTCCCAGGCACAACAGGGACACTCCTTGGGCCTGCTCAGCGCGGCCGTCGATCCCCACACAGGCGCACATCTCTTCAGCCAGAGAGTCAGGGACGCAGCGCCTCTCTGTCCACCACAGCGAGCCCCCCACACGGCACTCCCTAGGCGCCCGCCTAGGCGCCCGCCTAGGCGCCGCCCGCACACCCCACCCCGGCCTTGCCCCCACCCACAGAGGGCAGGGGTTCTGAAAGTGTCTGCGGTGTTTCCAAAATCCATGAGATCTCCGATTCAGACTCAGACACGCCGCGCGCCCCCCGTGTCAGCGACATGGAACCGTGGGACATCTATGCAGGAGACGTCATCATGTAGAGTACAAGTGTCACCCGGGATTCCCGGATCCGAAAGCGTGGCTCGGAGGTGACGGGCTCATGCAGGAGGAGATCGGAGCCGGGAATGAAAGCGGTGGCGGCCGGGACAGCAGGGGTGGTCAGCAGGTCTCCCCGCCCAGCCGGCAGGGGCCGAGGGCGCACAGAGTCCCCGCTGCGCGAATGGCCTGGACGAAGGTGAACGAGCACACAGCTCAGCGCTCGTGGCTTTAGTCGCACGTGCTACGTAAGTGGACGGCATCAAGCACGGCACACGTGACGCAAGGGACAGGGCTCCCCGGGCTCCCGGGCCGGGCGGTCAGCAGGGCCCCTGCACCCAGGAAGACGTCTGGGACGACGTGCCTGCGAGCAGGCGGACGGAGCGGGGGCGGGGGCAGCGGGGACAGAACTGGTGGCAGGGCCGGGCCCCGGGAGCCTCGTGCGCACGTGGAGGAATTTGGCGGCGAGCCACTGGAAGGTCTTAAACAGAGTGCCTGAGTGCAGCGCCCGTGAGCGCCGGCCTGGTCTAACGCAGCGTCTCGGAGGGAGAAGGTGGCCGATTTCGAAGATACTTAGGACACGCTGGGCCCGTGGCTGCAGCAAGGAAGGAAGGGAGGGGCACAAGGAGCGTGAGCACGGTCAGGGCCCCAGGGCAGGCAGGACACGGACCCGCAGATGCGGAGGCTGCACCAGCCGCCGGAGGAGCGTCCCAGGGGCTGCAGGTGGCCCCCTGCCCCGGGGCCAGGAGCGCCCGCCAGCTTCAGGTCACGGTGACCTGGGCAAGAGCACTTTTCCAGGCAGAGATGAGAAGCCAGACCACGGTGAGGGCAGCTGCTGAGCAGTCAGAGGTGGGGCAAGAGGACCCCCACTTCCCTAGGTTTTACCTCAAAACGGAGTCGGGGGGGGGGATGAAGGTAGCTGGAGAGAGAGAATGCAGGCATACCTGGTCTTTCCCGTGCCCCTGCTGAAGGAGACAGGCGTGAGGGGGTAGGAACACATGCCGTTGGAGACAGGAGGGGCCGGCCTGGGCGCCCGAAGCCCCAGCCCAGAGCCCAGGCCCCCCGCACGCCCCCTCTGACTGCGGGTGCTGCTTCTCACCGCAGAGGAGCCCGGCAGCCTCACAAAGAAGGAAAAAGGCGGAGGACACAGGGTGCCGTGCTGGGGAACAGACCTCCCGTGGATGGAGCCGCACCTCCACCTGAGAACCCACGTGCCCGGAAGGGAGCTGGGACTGACCCAGGAAGGACGCACCGCAAGCCCAGGCCCAGCGGGGACAGTGGCCCGAGCCCCGCCTGCACCACTGCTGTGTGTCTTCCCTGGAGTCCGAGGCCACGTGTCCTGGGCGTCTCAGTAAAAGGCCTAGTTTCTGGTTCTTCAGTTCTTTGCAAGGAATCCCATCTATTCTATATATTCTTGTGTATAATCTCATGTAATAGCCTATTGTCAGGCTATGTATACGCCCATCCATACGTGAGTACTTTTTCTGTTCCAGCTGGAAATTTTCCTATAGGTAAATGTGAGCTTCTATTTCCAAAATTTTGACAATCCCTCTGTACCTTCTGCAGACACACTGAAGTCTATACCATGTTCCCCCCAGAGGGCAGGGCTGGGGAAAACGGGTCACCAAGAGAGACCCAGGGAGTGCGTGTTCTCTTGCTCCAAGTGGCCCCTTCTCTGCGCCTGGCCGCCCATCCTCTCTCAGCCAGGCACCCCAGCCTGTCTCCACGCAGAGGGGCTGCCCCCAGAACGGCCCTCCTCCCAGAGTTTGTGCTCATGGGGAGAAGCTCCGGCTTCTGCAGAAAGCGGGGTCCGAGCAGCCGGTGCGGGAAGGAAGCCAGCCGGCCCCGCAGAGCGGATGTCTCCTGAAGCCCTGTCCCTTCTCTAGTCTTTCAGGTTGCCCGAGAGCAAAGAAGAGCGGCATCAGGATAGCACAGAGCAAGGAAGACAAAGAAGACCAGGAGCCCATCAGGTACACGTGCAGGCTGGGCAGGGAGGGGGCGGGCTTCCGGCGGGATCAGCGGGGAGGAGGGGACGTCAGTCACCCCAAGGCCAGATCCGGAATCCGCACCCAGAGCCCCCTTGCCGGCCGCTGAATGCACCACCGAAATAGCAGGTGGTGTAGCCAGGGACTCTCCACACATCTGACGCTCTGAGTAACGGGACCCCGAGACGCTTCCCTCTAGCCCTGGGGGTTGGACCCCGGACGCTTCCCTCTAGCCCTGGGGGCCGGACCCCGAGACGCTTCCCTCTAGCCCTGGGGGTTGGACCCCGGACGCTTCCCTGTAGCCGTGGGGGTTGGACCCCGGATGCTTCCCTGTAGCCCTGGGGGGCGGACCCCGGACGCTTCCCTCTAGCCCTGGGGGGCGGACCCCGGACGCTTCCCTTTAGCCCAGGGTGGGAAAAGCAGTTCGCTGACTGGGAGAGGCAGATCCACGAATGTCTACGAAGGCATCAGCTCCAACACTGAAAGCCAACATTGGCCAACATTCTGGCTTTTGAGAATCGTGTAGCTGCTGTCTGCCTTGCTCTCAGGCAGGCCGTGAGAGCCATGGGTGCCTGGGGCTTCCCAAACTGATGCCCAGAACCCAGGTCCCAAAAATCCCTAAGATAAACCTGGCACTGTCTTCCTGAAATGTTGATCTCAGTGTCTTTGGAGAAAAATGTTTGATTAAAACAAGATAAAAATTAATTAAAAAGTATTAAAATAAACCTTAACCAAGTAAATGGGTGCTATAAATTTTGTAGAATGTAAACTTTGCCATTAAAAAGAAAATGCAAAACCCACCAGTTTGGGGCTTATGAGGGGCCCCGACTGAATCACACCCACCTTCTTTGAGATAACCGTAAGCGGTTGGGGTTGTGTGTCCTTGGTCCCTCTGTGGCGAGAGGTTTCAGAAGCAGGCATTAGCCTACCATTGACCTTTAGCTCCCGCCAACGATTTTCCCCTTTTATTCCCCCAAAATATACCTATGGTGTACCACATACCAGCACTATCCAGGAGACTTGATTAAATACTATCTCCCCTGCTTCAAATCCTCTCTGGCTGGAGGTGTTTGATGGCCTGTGGAGAACACGGCCAAGCAAACAAATGTTTTCTAGCTCTCGAGAAAACCACGGGTTTATAAAATCATAAAAAATAATCCTGCAATTTCTCCTTGACTTTGCATTCTTCTACCATGAAAACTGATTCTGTCCAAACGTGGTGTCTTTTAAACAGACACCTGCACCTCACTTGCTACAAGGACAGATTCTTTTTCCCCTGCTGGTGTGCAACATTGTTCACCAAGAGCAGACATCCTGCCCCAAACAGCCCCCTCCGTCGGCAGCGGACCAGGCATTCCCACGACAGAAGGTCCCTCGGTTCGCCGCTAGGTGGTACTTTCAGAGATTTTCCTCTGTCATTGTCTTTGCTGGAGTAGAGCGTGATGGTTTTTCTTCGAGCCAGGTTATTTTGACCTTGCTGGAGAGTCCGCCAGGTATATGGCGCCAAGACCCCAGAGTGTGTCTCTTCTGCCCCCCAGATGTCCCGTTCCCGGGTGTGATGGCCAGGGCCACATAACCGGGAAGTACGCCTCCCATCGAAGCGCGTCAGGGTGCCCCCTGGCCGCCAAGAGGCAGAAGGACGGGTACCTCAATGGCTCGCAGTTCTCCTGGAAGTCGGTCAAGACGGAGGGCATGTCGTGTCCCACGCCGGGCTGTGACGGGTCGGGGCACGTCAGCGGCAGCTTCCTCACACACCGGAGGTGAGTGGCCCTCGGTCCTGGCACCAGGCCCGGGCAGCCCCGCCAGGAGTGTCCGTCACGGCCCAACTCGACACCCCCATTTAGAAAGAGAAGGTGGAACGCTGCTTCCAAACTCATGACCTTCCCCAGCGAAGAGAGGAAAACCCTTGAGCGTGTTTAAGAAGCAAATCTCGTTCCTATCCTGGGTCAGGACAGAGGCTTTCACAGGTCTTGGATCAGGATCCACAGGGAGAAACAGGCTGGAATTCTGCACACATGCGAGTATCTGTAGGTTTGATCCTTTGGGCTAAAGATGGCGGGCAGGCCGCACGCAGGGAAGGAGGATGGTATCTGGCACAGGGGCCTCATGCTGCATGCCTGGGCCAAAAATGCATCAGGACATTTCCAGAAGAGCCGATCACCCCATTAACTTTTACTCGCTTACTTTTAGAAGAAATATGTGCAGTTCGATTATCTTAGCAGAAGAGGCCTGTCCGTTGAATCAAAGGGCGCTCGGTGGGTCCCCATGGATGGGTTAGGGTGGGCGGTGTAGACAAATCACAGAGGCCAATGGAGTCGGTTAACCGGGCGGGTGTCCCCAGCTCCTTGGAAACCAGGCTGGAAGGAGAAACGCAGTAAAGCCAGGTCCAGCACAGAACGAACCAATGTCAGTTTGCAAACCGGGAGTCACGGGAGGTTCAGGAGTACGGAATGAGCCTTGAAATGTTCCTCAAGAGGAAGGTTGATTTTTAATTGTTAAATTCCTGCTCAGGTAGAGAACTCAGATGGGATCAGGGAGCCTAAAGCGGAAACATGAATGCCTTTCCCTGACCTAACCTCTCAGCAATGGCTCAAGGCCCTGGTGTCCCCCGCGGACAGAGGGGCCCACGCAGCCCCACGCGGGCTCACGACTCCGGGCATGCACAGCGACCTTTCTGTCTCTGTGCTCGCATGCACCACACCGCTCGTACTGGGACGGCCCCGGTCCTGCTCTACAGACACTAGCCCCAAGCCCCGGGGTTTGCCGCCTGCCCCCAGGGCCAGGAAGGCTCCCTCTTTGGCCCAGGTCCCTGCCGAAGCCACAAGGTCCCCAGACGTGACCCATGACACCTGCCCCGCATGAGGGCCACCAGCTCTGCTGGACGAGCCTGCACAGGGCCTGGGAGGGGGCATTGCAGGGCGGTCAGAGGGCGTTCAAGTCAGAGCTCCTGCCGTGGGTGGTGGAGCTACACGGACCGGAAGCCTTCTCTGCTATAAAGCTGAATCAGACGCTGTGAACGGCCACCTCGATGTGCCTGTAGGCAGGGGCTCTGAGCCCACAGGTGTTGGGTGATGGAGCCTCATCTTTTGTAGGGTCTGACTGTGCGTGAAGGAAAACAGGCCAGGGGGCACGTGGGGAAAGGGGATGAACAGCACTGTGAGCAGAGCCGACGGCATTTTGCTTCCATTGTGGTAAAAAACACATCTTCCCACCTTAACTATTTTGGGGTGCACAGCTCAGTGACATTGAGGTCACTCACGATGTCGTGCAGCATCCCCACCATCCATCTCCAGAACTTTGCCATCTTCCCAAACTGATGCCCTGTCCCTGTAAACCCTCGCCCCCACCCCGCCCCTCCAGCGCCTGGCGCCCACCATCCACTTTCTGCTTCTACAAATCGGAGTCCTCCAGGGACCTCCGATGAGTGGGATCATGCAGTTTGTCCTTCTGCGTCTGGCTCACCTCACTGAGCAGTGTCCCCCATATGTGGCAGGTGTCCGAATGTCCCTCCTTATAAGGCTGAACCACATCCTATCGTTTTCATTTATGCTGTTGGGCAGGCAAACCGTGATTCCTGGGCGGTGTGAGAACAGTCGTCCTGGCGAGAACCCAGCCAGGGGTGCAGACATTGTCTCCTGGAAGCTGTGGCCCCGCCGTGGGGAGCGACGGGCCGTGAGCCTCCCAAACCTTAAGGCCTCGGTTAGGAGGGGCCCTGGGAAGACCCCGCTGATGTGCTGAGACGGGGGGTTCCTCCTCTTCCCCCTGTGCTGTGAAAACAGCAGGTTTAGAATCAGAACAAAGACTCCACAGACACAGAAATGTCCCGTTCGTCCCCTTTCCCCCAAACTGTGGCAGCTCCTGGGGCGGTAAAGGGTGGTGTTTAACGGTGCCAGGATGTAAATAGCAGACGAAGCAGGAGCGTAGGTCTGGGGCTTTGGGGCCATGGAGCCGCTGCCCCCAGTTTCCTCCTCAGGGAGGTCACGGCTGCGGGGGCCACGGGGGCCGCGGGGGCCGTGGGGACAAGGACAGTCGGAGCCACGGAGCTCTGCGCGCCCACCGTCCCCACATGCTGTGAAACCGTTTCATTTATTTTGTTCCTTCGAGGCTGGGGGCCACGCTCTCGGGTCTCCAGTCCGTCCTGAGCAGGGCTGCTGTACAGGACATGGACAATGTCTTATTTTATCTTTAGGATTGCCTGAGTCTTCCTAAAAAAGCAGTGTTTAAGATGAAAAACAAGTCGTTCAAAACCAGATATTTTCTCATATAAATCAGACAAATTTCTATTGGGATGAGTCTCTAACATTCAGATAATAAGGAAAGTAGAGCTCCTTGCTTTCTGATTATTTGGCACATTTTTATAGCTCATGCCCTCCAGGCCCGAGGGATGCTTGTTGAGTCTTCGGGAACGACCAAGTCTCCCTGCCGGGGCTGCTCCCCATCCTCACTTCGAAGGCCAGCCGTGAGCAGAACGAGCGTGGTCCCCCAAAGTAGCAGCAGTGGGCCGTCCAGTGGCCGCACGCACCTCCCGGGGGCTGGGCAGAGGGTTCCAGAAAACCCAGTTGGGGACCGCGAGGCAAGGAGACCCAGCGACCCAAACCGGCCTGGGAGAAGCCAGAGGGCAGAGGGCGGGTGTCGGAGGGGCGAGCGGGGATGCGGCTGGAGGTAGAAGAGACGCGGGGTGAGGGGCCGGTATCCCCCAAAGGCTCGGGTGGGGGCACAGCCTCAGGAAGAGAGAAAGGGCCTGTTATCAAAAAGGGAAAAGCCGGGGACAGAAAGACACTGAAGAGCCGGGCGGACGGGCAGGCAGAGCTCGGGGGAGGTCAGAGCCTGGGCCAGGGGTCAGGGCAGGTGGGCCCAAGGAGACGCTGCTGCGGAGAGGGGGTCAGTGGGCAGCGGGCGGGCAGGGGGAGGGCCCTCAGGACCCAGTGACCGTCCAGCAGCTGCCTGGGGGACAGCCAGCGGCACATGAGAAAGCTAAGCAGGCGACATCCTGGCGCAGCCCTGGGGAAACACCGGGGCACTGGGTCACGAGGGCCACTGAAAGTGGGTGTGGGGGGGCAGGGACGGGCAGGAGCTGGGAGGGGCTGGCTGATGGGGCGCCCCACAGCCCAGCCTGCCCCTGCCAGTCCCTCGACCTGGCTGCGTCTCTGGGACCGTCCCCCACTCCCAGCCCGCGGCTGAACGCCATTCCCTCCTCGTCTTTGCACCTCTCACCTCCCTCTCTACCTCCCCCTCTGCCCTGAAAAGGCCTCCTCATCCTCCAGCATGTGTGGGGCTCCCCGTGTGCCCAGCAGCGTTGCAAGCACCTTCCTGTGTTAACCCTCGGAGTCTTCGTGGGAGCCCAGAGACATAGGCACCATCGTCTGCCCGGTTAAAGACTAGAACTCAGGCAAGACGGGTGACGTGACTGCAGGGAGTGTGTAAGTGACAGAGCAGGACTCACACCTGGGCGGCCTGCCTCCTGCCTTCCAGGCCTCCTCCTCTGAGCTGTGCGGCCTCCCCTCAACCCTCAGCATATTTACGGACCCGGTGACACAAGGCCCACTTCCCTCTCCCCAGCCCAGTGGTCCCTGCACTTCGTGCCCCACCACCGAGTAATGGCAGGGTCTGCCCTGTTCTGCTGCAAAGGTTTCTATCCATGGAACCATTCCCTGGTCCCCCACACCCACAGCACCTTGCCTGGGCCCCACATACCAGCATTTAAGAAATGCCGCCCACACATCAGTGAAAATAGGAAGGAGGGGTGTGTTCATTCGGTGCAGAGCCTGCCTCATCCGAGTAGGGAATGCTTCACCAGGTGGGAAAAGTCCCAAGGCAGCAGGCTCCAGACCACAGTCCGGGCACCAGAGGCATTAGGTGGAAGGGCAGGACAGAGGGGGATGCTCCGCCAGAGTCCCCCTGACCCCGGAGCCCGAGGGGGGAGGCGGTGTCCTCAGCTCTTGCACCTGCTTCTCTGTGTGGGAGTGTGAGGGCAGAGCACGTCTCTCCCATCCAGCTCACCGCACTTCCAGTAAGATTAGGAACGGGCCACAAAATCGAAGTCCCTAATGCTAACCCCGGAAAAGTAATAAATAATCTTAGAACTAAGTCTTAATAAGCAATCTTAGAACTCGTCTTATCTTTCACTGGGCTTGACCAACATGAAGTTTTTTCAAAAAGGCCCCGCCTAGACCCTCTTAAACTTTCCACCCAGACCCAAAACCTGATTTATTTTATTTTCAGGTTCCTTACAGTTCATCACAAACGGGGAGACAGCCTTTTTCCGAATGTTTATTTTGCTTGATACTTGCCAAGAGAATTGCATTAAAAATAAGCCCCCGTCCTGAGTATTTACTCCGTGAGTTATTTTATAATCAATCAACTCATGCAATTCTCTGGAGGAGCACCTACCACTTGCTTCCCTTCAGCCCCACGAGTAGACCCAGGGCTCAGCATCACCAAATGCAAGGGATGCTGGGAGATGTAGTCTTCCCAGGGGATGCTGGGAGATGTAGTCCACCTTTGGGATGTGGGGGAGATGGAGTCTTTGTGGGCCCAAGAAGAAGAGGAAAGCTCTATGCTATGTTGAGAAGCCATAGTTTTTTACAAACACATACACAATCACTGAACCACAGCACCCTGAGATCTGTATGGTCCCGATTTTAGATCAGACAACCAACACCAAGAAGGCAAGACGCTCTCCCCTGGGCACACGGCCCATAAGGAGAAAAGCCTGTCCGGCGGGCATCACACACGGACCACCTGTGTCCACCTGCAAGAC